TGTTTGTTTGTTGCTTGATTGGCTGGCTGATTTGGGTTTAGATTTGGATTGAGTTTGGATTAGGGTTTTGGAAATCCCAGGATCAAATCAGTCTCATTTTACTCCCTCACAGGCACCAGCAGCAACTGGATAGAATCCCATCCTCAGATATCTCTGTCCTAGCTCTGAGGGCACTTTCTCTGAGCTGCTGTGACACTAGTACCAGTTAGAGGAAGTACCCCCTCCTCAGAGATCTGAGACCCAGTTCTGCGGGCCACTTCCAGCCTTATGTGTTCTAATGACCCAACCTCCTCCCAAGTGTAAGGTTCCCATTCTTCTCCTACTCCAATCTCTGATAATGACTAATCTACATTCTGTTTCTATAAATTTGCCTATTGTGGAAGCATACAGTATGTGGCCATTTGTGTCTAGCTTCTTGTCATACAGCATAATTTTTTCAAGGTTCATTCTTTTTTTGTAGCATGCATCAGTACTTCATTGTGGCTGAATAATATTCTGTTGTATGGATATACCACAATATGTCAGTTGACGGACATGTGCATTATTACCACTTTTCACTGTTATTTTGCTTCCAGGACATCCATGACAAATATTTGTATTGACGTATATTTTAAATTCTCTTGGGTACAAACCTAGGAGTGGAATTTTGGGTCATATTGATTATACTACCTTCAACTTTTTGAGAAACTGACAAGTTGTTTTTTCAAATGACTACATTATTTAACATTCTCACTATCAGCATATGAGGGTTCAAACTTCTCTACATCCTTGTCAGCATTTGTTATCATCTGTGTTTTTGATTATAGCATCCATGTGGGTGTAAAGTGGTATCTCGTAATTTTGATTTCATTTTTCTATTGACTAATGATTTTGAACATCTTCTCATGTGGCTATTGGCCATTATATATCTTCTGAGGAACAATGTGTATTCATATCCATTGCCTATTTTTAAGTGGGTTATTTGCTTTTTATTGTTGAGTTGTAAGAGTTCTTTATATACTCTGGATACCAGAACTTTATCAAGTATATGATTTGCAAATACTTTTCTCATCCTGTGGGTTATCTCTTCACTTTCTTGATGCTGTCCTTTAAGGCATAAAGATTTAATTTTGATAAAGTCCAATTTATCTACTTTTTCTTTAATCATTTGTCCTTTTGGTATTATAAATAAGGAACATTGCCTAATCCAAGGTCATGAAGATTTACCTCTACTTTTTCTCCCAAGAGTGTTATAGTTTTAGCTCTTACATTAAGGTTTTGATAATCTTGAATTAATTTTTGTATATGGTGTGATTCTATTTTCTTCTTACTATAGTGTTTTATAGATTTGAACTGATTTTTCCTATTTTTCATTATTTTTCTAATAGAATTCCTAGTTCAAGAGCACCCTCTTCTGTCAGTATCATGAAGATCAGTTTATTTAAAGAATAATAACATTGCTGGGAGATCATGGAGAGGTTGCCATGTAGTGTAGTTTTCTTTTATTTCTTTGGGGTCTTGGTTTTCCTCTCTCACTTCCTCCTTTCTTTTTATTACCACACCTCTAAGGAGGAACCCCTTTCCTCCAGTTATCTCCTCCTTCCCAGAAGCAATGCATTTCTTAGGTTGCCGTCTCTGCTCCTATTCACTTTCAAAATGCTTTGCTGTAGCCAGGGCTGTTTTCAATGCCATCCTTGACCTGTGTCTGACATTTTAGAATTTAGTGTAGATTTTTTTATTTCGGGATATTTTCCTTATGCTGTCTATATGTCTTCCACACCCCTCTCCTCTTTTCCATGTAGCCTTTTACACTTCCCTCTCCCCACACTCTGAACCTAAAGTCAGGGACAACTGTGGGAGCTCCAGCAGGAACTCTTTTTCTCTTCTCAAAATAACTTGAAATCCTGCCATTCTCTGTCAACTATTAACGTTGAAGGAGTGGGCCAATGTGGTTTTATTTACACTCCTTCTGATGTTATGGTTTCTTTGGGAAAATGCATAGTGAGATTCAGAATCAGGCAGCCATATTGTCCTAGGGCCAACAAGAATATATATACACACACGTCTCTATCTACCTGTAGGTGTATGTATGAATGTATGTGTATGCTTGTGGCTGTTATTCTGTGCACATTGGGTATGATGTCTTTAACTGGTTTTCATTGTCACATAGAATATATCTGGGTTTTTACACAGTTTTTAATTATCATTATTATTTTAATGATACCAGACCAGGTGAGACTGGAGTCCCAAATTAAACCCGGCCTCTGGTGTGAGTTCTTGACCTCGTGCAGCAAAGAATTCAAGAGCGGGTCAGGAGAGCGTAAGAAAGTTCAATGAAAAGGGAAAGGAGGAAAGCAAGCCAGGATGATCACGTGGAAACAGACCAACGAGTCTTAGGGAGGAAAGTGAGCCAGGCTGATGGGGTGGAAACAGACCAACCAGCCCCGAATGGGGTTTGGGACGTTGTTTTATAGTGGTTAAAGCGGGGACTCGTGTTGGCAGCTAGGGACTGGTCAGTCTCTGGGCCAGGCGGTCATCTCCAGCAGGCCAGTTGCCAAGCTCGTGATCAGGTCGCTGATTGGCTACCTGGAGTGGTCAAGCATCTGGTCAGGCGCTGGGCTCGTGATCAGACCGCTGGTTCACGGGCCTCTGAGTCAGGCGCATATCCTGTGCTGTTCAGGTGCCTGCCTCATGTGTTTTCGAAATGGAGAATGTGGCCTCTCTTGTCGGCTCAGGAGACGGCCCAGAAGAAGCTGCATGAGCCCAGAGGAACTGTTTACCCCTTTCCTGTCTCAGCAACACTCAAGACTTTCTTAACAATTTTTTCAGATCATTCTGTGGAGATTTTAGGAAGATAATTGCTTCATTACCTGCAAATGATGATGAATTTTAATTTTTTAAATAAACATATTTTCTTCATTTACTACTTGAGTTTCATTGTATCAAGTTGATATGTAAGAAATCTTTTAGTAAATAATTTCAAAAGCTAATTGGAAAAACCTTAACTTATTTCTAACTTCAAAAGGAATAATATACCTAAGAAGGAAGAATTTTCCTTCCATGGCAATAAACTGCCTTTTTATTTTTTTCTACACATTTAAAAAAATTCAGTGTTTTGAACTTTTTCACTAGCCTCAAAATTTATGGAGTTTACTATATAATATTTATATGTTAATTTATTGATAGAATGGATTTAATTGGTATATTTTCTAACATTGAATCATTATTCTTCTCTACAATTATTCAATATAGGCAGTGTAGGATACAGGTTTAGAACTTGGAATGTGAAATTAGAGAGACAGTAGTTACATGATATTAGTGAAGAAATTAATCATTTTGAAGTCTTAATTTTCATTTAGGTATATTGACATTAAAACTAGTATCTATACTTTAGGACTATTTTGAAAATTAAATGAAGTAATGGAAATGAAGCATTTGGCACTCAGTAAGTACTCTTCTAATAATATCCGTTATTTTCTTTTTAAAATATATAACCAAACTGATTGTCAAATTTATTTATAATTTTGTGTCTGCATTGTATGTGTAGCTGACCTGTATTTTTCTTTCTTCTGAATTTTTTCTTCTGCATTTTCTTTCCGCTCTATTTTCTGATTTTGCCATCAGGATAATGTTAAATTTTCTAAAATGATTTTGAATGCTTTGCAATTTTTTTAGTATTGCAAAACAGTTCATATAGCGCAGGAAACATATGAAAAAGTATTGTGTCCTGACCTCTTACTTGGAAGATAAATCTGCAATGCCTTTTTGTCGACTACCTCCATTCATCGTTTTGATCTGTTCAGTTTTTCTAAATCTTGTTTGTGTCAATTTTGTAATTCTATTTAGAAGATCATTTTTTCTTTACATATTTATACAAAGTATCATTTCTTCTGTTCGCTTCCTCCCTTATATTACATCACAGTCACCTTAGCCCTCTTCTCTGCATACTTCTTGCTCATTCAACCTTGAGTTTCAGTCAGGCCCCATTTCCAATTAGAAACCCACTTTACGTTTTTACAGCTCCTAGAATACCCAGAGAAATCAATTGTCTTCTCTAGCTTCCATACTCTAATGAGAATGACTGTATATTTTGTCAGCAGCCACTCTCCTACAGTCTGCCCTAAGGCTCACCCTCAAAAGAACTGTGGGGGATGGGGTTTTCCAGAGGCCTCAAGCCCAGAGACAGTCCTTTCAACTCTTCGGGCTTTATAATCTCCTGACTTAAGACTCTCTGACCAAGGTAAGGGCTGAGAGTCCCGAAGGAGCACCAAGCACTGGGGAAATCTGGAGCGAGACCTCACTTCATACCATGACTGTAGACTAGAATTGAATTTAGTAAGGTAGATCTACATATGCTAGAAATAACAACCACACCAGAAATACATTTATTTCCAAATCTTTTAGTGTTTTACAAGCTGCAAAGATTTTTGCAACAATTTTTTTGAGTTCAGAGTCCCAAATTAAAATTGCTCTATAGCATGTTATTGGCAAGGAGACTGAAGCTCAGAGAGCTCTAAGTAAAATTCTCAGGTAAATCTTCCAGTCAAGGCCAGAGCCCGAAATTAAACCTGGATCTATGACTGCTGGTTGATTTCTCTTAGCACTGCATCCTGCTTGGTTTTCAGGAAATCCCACATCACTTTTACAGGCATGAACTTCAGCTTCTGACATGTGAATGAAGAGAATCGTCATGTGGAAGGAAATTATTCAAAGCATTACTGAGGCTGCAACATTTTGCAAACCTTTTTCTCTCATTAGGAATTTTGTAGTATTGAAGGGTTTTAAATATGAAGTTTTTTTGTACTTTTCCTGTGGGAAAGTAGAGAGATTGTTTGGGAATCTTTGAGCTATGCCTTCCATTGGAGTGTACAAATTGTGAGGAATAGGGGGAAAATGTAGTGTGATTGGCTTGTATGGGAATGCCAGAGGAGTTTAACAAAAATATTTCCAGTGTTTTTTTCTGTTTTGATCCTACTATTGTTCCACTGAACATTTGTGGAAGATCCTCCTGGGGCTAAATATCAATAGCTTTTAGGGTTAAGCATCCTTAGTACACGCTCTCTTATCTGTTTTGTCCTGACCCCATAGATAACAGGATTAAGGGCAGGAGGAACAACCACGTACAGATTGGCCAGAAATATGTGGATGTAATGAGGAATGTTGTGACCAAAGCGGTGTGTCATGAAGGAGAAGAGTGCTGGCAGGTAGAAAGCTAACATAACACAGACATGGGAGCCACATGTGCTGAGTGCCTTGAGCCGAGCATCCCAGGATGGGAGATGGAAGACTGCACGGAGGATTTGGACATAGGAAAATCCAATCACAGAAAGGTCAATGTATCCCACTGAGAAAGCAATCAAGCCATAGATAACATTGACCCTAATACTGGCACAAGACAACTTTGCTAAGCCCATGTGTTCACAATAGGTATGGGGGATAACCCAGACACCACAGAAAGGCAATCTCAGGATGAGAAATACGAATGGAGTCACAAACACCAAAGTCCTGACTATGATGACTATGCCCAGGATGGCTATCACCTTACTGGTGAGGATCGTGCTGTATCTCAGAGGGTTGCAGACGGCAATATATCGATCTATGGCCATGACTGTCAGCACCACAGACTCCAGGCCAGTGCATATGTGGATAGTGTACATCTGCGTGATGCAAGCACCAAACGCAATCTCCCTGAGGTTGAACCAGAAAATGCCCAGCATCTTGGGGGTGGTGGCTGTACACAGGCCAAGGTCAGTGCAGGCCAACATGGCCAGGAAGTAAAACATGGGTTGGTGGAGGCTGTGTTCAGTCTGGATCACAAACAGGATAGTGATATTCCCCAGGAGAGCTATTAGATACACCGCAAAGAAGGGGAAGCCGATCCAGATGTGCACATCTTCCAGCCCTGGAATCCCCATCAGAAGGAAAGAAGAAGGGTGGAACTGTGTATTGTTGGGATGCAGCATGTTGATGGGAATTGGTTATAGGTACATTTCTTGCATTTTTCTTGCTTCCACTGAGAGACCTTAACCTCTTTCATGGCATGTTGTCTATTTTCTGGAGAAAGAGAAAATCCATTCTTTAATTCCATAATACGGCAGAGGAGACCTAGAGAGAGAATATGAGGCACAGTTAAAGAGACACACTTACTTCAAAATATTTGCCTCACCCACCTAGAAAATCCTGCAGAAAATGTCCAAGTACAGCAATCCTACACTTCTCCTGTCTTTCTCCTCTTCAGTCTCTAAGGAAGAACCTGCATATGGCATTAAATTAGCAAACATTTATTGTTAATTATATCTGTAAATCAGGATGTACAGCATAAACAAGATGCTGTGTGTGTGTGAGTGTCCGTGTAAAATATCACTGGACTGGAGTTGAGGTAGAGATGGTGACTCAGCTAGTCTGATGGTTCAAGAGAATGATACATTCTTGCAAGGTAGACCAAGGTAGATACATTCTTGTAAGAAAAATTAAGAAGATTCTATGTGGGAGGGAACCAAGTAAAGGTGGATGGTTAGATAACTACTGTTTGGATCTGAGCTAAGAAATGGATCTAAAAAATTTAGACACATTGGGTGACTACTATATAATTCCAGCAAAATAATACTCCCTCCTAGAACTGCAAAGTCTTATCACTCACTATGTTATATTATGTCCCTTTCCTGAACAGATTAACACACTGTGCTCTCAGAAGACACTTTTGTGATTTATGATCTTCTTTTCTGCCTCCTTCATGTTGCATTATAATAATGAATAATCCCTTCATGCCACCTGGAGAGTGGCAATGACAATGTCTCTATCTTTTTTAAAGCTAGAGCATTACCAAGGTCAGATACTTGCTTTAACTTGGGAATAATCTAGTTTATGTTAGTGCTGTAGCTAGTTTCTCTGATATAGTGATGGATGATAATATGTTTAAGTTGGCAGCAGGCTTGTTTACTATAACAGTGGAATCTGTCTGGTGTGCCTTGTGTTGAGTCTGGATTGTAGCTGGCCCTGTGCCATGGTGGAGCCTGTCAGGTGCTTGGATGTGTGCAAGTGAGACTAGGCCACCATTAGAAATTTCGCTATTACAAGGTAGATTCTACGGGCAGGCTCTAGGCTGTAGGTGTCATACCTATAGTGCCTGTGGCTTATTGGATCTAGGCAGTGCCACACCCAGGGCAGTGCCACGTGTTGTTTTTCCTTGATGCTCCTTTGAGTGCAATGAGTTCTAATATGGTGGTACCAATTCTAAAGAAAAAATAAATCCTGTGACATGGCTTTAACAGGGGCCCAAAGAACTGCTCTGGAGGTATAATGACGTGTAATTTGGATTAGCATATGCTCATATTGTGCCCAATCATTAAAAATAATATGCTATGGAGTTGCTTCCAAAGATGTGCTATGATCTTGCCTGAGGGAGGGAAGCTACTTCATGATTTGCTCACTCCCTGGGTTGTAGTAGTCCAATCTATTCCTCCTAATGTAGTCCTATCATATGAAAGTCAGTATCACCACCTTTCACCCACCAATGATGCTTGATTAGATTCACTCTTCTATTCACCTTTACTCCCTCCCCTAGCATCCAATCTGTCAGAGAATTCTTTTTATTTCACTTTATAATAAAAAGAATAATAACTCAGGTGGTGCTAGGAAAAGAAAAAGTCTAGCTGACATGTGCCAGGCACTTGCTTACTGCTTTACAAGTATTATCTTATATAAAGGTTAAAACAGATCTGAGATTGGTACTTCTCCTGTCCCCATTTATGGAGGAAGTAAATGAGTCTTGGGCCAAAGGATTAACAACCATGTCTAACTTAATAATTGCTGTTAATAATCAGCAATTTTTAAATAGGTAAGCTGGGAGTAACAATACTGATCATGCAGGGCTGTTCTGAGAATTAGAAGTTATAGACATGGGATGTGCCTACTCTGCCTGCCCTGCATATGGATTCTAAGTAAACATGAGCATACTTATTATTATTACTGATGATGAGAGGAAAGGGAGAAACGTTTCCTGAGAGCACCTCTTTTCTTCCCACTTGCCGCTTCCTGCCTTTAAATTCTTATTATTTCTCATGCAATATATCTCTTATCTTTATTAATGCATAACATCTTTCTAATTACAAAGATTTCAAAACTTTGAATAATTTTTCACTTACTCTAATTCTTTCTTCTTTTGTAGTTAATTATTAAGACCTGTTGGTTCTGTTTCTGAAATTTCTACATATTTATATTTATATCTATATTTTAACTTCTATTTTTGTATCTATTTTTATTGTCGCTGATATTCTTTGACTGACCAACATTGTTAAACTGACCTGTTACCAAATTGTTCTGTTTGGCTTTTGAGTTTCTAAGTTTCCTCCAATCTAATGCTTCCAGAGGGATCACCCACAAATGCCAATATAATAATCACTCCCTTAATTGTGGAATACAGTTATTACTAGCTTAAAATATTTAATTTTTCCATTGCTATTTTGAAAGATTAAAGAAAACCAGAGGTTATATATCACAATTAGTTGTACTAATTAGGAAACTATAGAGAGAACTTTGTTAGCACAAAACTTAAACTACAGGGCTAAATTATTTAACCTGTCAGTGAAATAAGAAACAATAAAGGGTACCTAAATTTGGTGGAATTAAGAATGCAATGGGAAAAAAAATCAGCAAAAGGAGCAAAATTTGTGTTTAAGTTTAATTTCATATATTCACTGCTTCCTGTGACTAAAAACACATGTCCTCTTCTGTGATATGCAACTTCCAATCCAATAGTTGTTATTTTTAACCTCAAGCCTATATGCTTGTATTTTCTATAGCACTAGCTCTGGAGAATTATATTGTTCACTTAAAGTTTTAAACTAATTTTGGTTAGGAATTTGAATTTACTCACTAACATTGTCACAACTAACCAATTAACTTCACAATGACCTAAATGTTCTTGTCGTAATTAAGCTCAATATATGAGAAGTTGTATAGATTCTCTTGTACGTGAAGAAAAACATTTCTAGACTCAAAGTCTAAGATAGCCTTTCCTGTTTATTGAATGTATCAATAAAATTAAAATGTTTTTATACAAGTTCATTGTCATAAGCAAGCAAAATCTCCATCCTCTGGGGACACAAACTATGACCTATAGGCCAAATCTGGCGCACTGCCTACTTTTACAAATAAAATTTTATTGCAACACAATTATTTCCATTTATTTGCATATGTTCTATGGCTGTCTTCACTTTAGAATGGCAGAGTTGAGTAATCATGATCAGGTGACTATCAGGTAGGCTTGGGTCAAAAGAGAAGCTGACCCATCATGAAGTTGAATCTGAGGCCTCCAATGATACTATGGGAAGCTCTGGAACTGGAATGGCTCTTCTAAGTTGTCCCACAATGAGGCAAGGAAGCCAGTTATTTGTATTCCCATGGTATTCAGTTATTGCCCATGGGCCACCCTGTGTGATGAGATACAACTTTGGATGAGGCAGTTCCTTTGGTCTGAGGGCAATTCCAGGGAGGGGTGCAGATGTAAGCTCTCAGCGTCTGGTATTCCCAGCAGCTGGGACATAGGGGCATAGGGACCGAAAAGCAGATCTGGGAGGTGTACCACAGTGTATACTGCAGATGGCATTGTGCTTCTATTCTCTCTTGGCCTTGTCTTCTCCATCAGTCTTAGGAAACTTGCTCTTTCCTTACTTACTTTTCTGCACTTGAACCTCACACTTCACTGTTTCCTCCCTCTCCACCTGCAAATAGTCTCTATTTCTTGTGTCAGGGGCAAAAGTTTAATTTGCTGTTGACCGTGGCTTGAAATAAAATTCTTGTTCACTCCTAAATCTTTCTTGAATGCATCAGACATAATCTCCACTCCCAATGCACACACACACGTACATGCATGCACATACACATACACACACACACACACACACACACACACACTTTGGTATACTGCAGAAAGGCTTACAAATCTCCGTGCACTCCAGGTAGCTGTTGCCTGAGAACACATGCTCTGTTTTTGTCTTTTCTGGACTCTAGACTGTATCTCACGCAGTCCTCATTACATCAGCTTTCCCATTGTCTGGAAACCAGAAATAACTAAAGATTTTGCATATGGCATGACTATGACCAGGGAATAATAAATCCTTCATCTATTAATTTCCTTCTCATCTTCATGAAATGCTCTTCTCTTTTGGCTTTTAAAACACATCTTCTGGGGCCAGCCCAGTGGCGCAAGAGGTTAGGTACATGCCCTCCACTGCTGCGGCCCGGGGTTCGCTGGTTCGGGTCCCGGCTGTGCACCAATGCACCGCTTGTTAAGCCATGCTGTGGCGGCGTCCCATATAAAGTAGAGGAAGATGGGCACGATGTTAGCCCAGGGCCAGTCTTCCTCAGCAAATAAGAGGAGGATTGGCATTGGATGTTAGCTCAGGGCTGGTCCTCCTCACACACAAAAAAAAACACATCTCCCTTTTGTTTTCCTTCTGACTCTCAGAACACTACTTGAAATTTGCTTACTCCTTGTCTTCCTTCACTTTTCCCTTAAGTAGTATTCTGTCCTTGACTGCAGTCTCTGCTCATGCAGTATGCCTCACAAGCATGCTTTCATTGGCTTCCCTAAATGCAAGTACCACATTTTTTTCCTGGTGATTCTCAAAAATTTGTTTCTAGCAGACTTCTTCCCAATTCTTTATATATCTCTAGTTGCTTTGTAGGATGTCTCCCCCAGATATAACTGAGGCACATCTTATTTAACAAGCTCTGTACCAAGTTGATCATCTCTACTCTGAAACCATTTCTCCACCATTTTCCTCAATAGGTAATGATGTTTTATGCAGACTATCCCAGGAAAGAAATCTTGGAGATATCCTCAGTGCTTTCTTCTTGCTTACATTCTCTCATGCTTCAGATCCAAAAATTTATCAATTCCTGTCAGTTCTCCACTCAAACACACTTATATATAATTGAATAACCACTAGGTGCCTAGTGC